GTCAGCTCTCCAAGCCAGATAAGGTCTGTGACTGTAAATCCTCCCTTGAAAGACTTTGCTGGATGTGAATGAGCAGAATTCACAGCAAATTAATACAAGGGTTTTTTGTTGGGACAATGAGTTTGCTTCATGCTCTTGGGAAGCCTAGGTCAGAACAATTTCTTAAGTGAGTTTTGCACCATTTAATGACCTTTCTTGCCTCAGTTATTGAGTGAATCACTGCAGTTGTTAAGTGAGTAACCTAGTTGTTAAGTGAATCTGGCTTCCCCACTGACTTTCTTGTGAGGAGGCCACAAAAGGTGATCACATGACCTTGTGACACAGCAATAGTCATAAATATGAACCAGTTGCCAACCTTCTGAATTCTGATCCCATGATCATGGAGATGCTGCAAAAGCCATTACTGTAAAAAATGGTCATGTCACTTTTCCCAGTGTTGTCGTAATTTTGAACGGTCACTAAACAAATTGTTGTAAGTCAAGGATTACCTATAATTTGTGGCTCTGCCTACATTCCCTGCTCCTGCACAATGAGCAGCTCCAACTTGGGGTTTACAGTACAACCCTTTCTGCAGCTGAATCTTCTACTTATCATGATGCATGTTTTGTACATTTCTTTTTTCTACTACTCTAACACGTACTCGGGATTGCTCCTGAAGACGACTCAGAGACTCTGCTGGTCTAAAATAAAGCATTTCAGACAGTAACAGATCAGGGTTCTGGAAACTGGCCCATTTCTTGCCTCTGGAGTTCTGGGGAGGCTGTTTTCGCTCTCCTGGAGACTCAAAGAAAGCTTCTGAAGCATGGGGAGGGTGAAAACGCTCCCCCCACCATTGTGCATGAAGCCGAGTAGGCCATGCCCACTAGCAACTGGGCAGAGAACTGGTTGCTAAACATTTTTAATCCCACTCCTGTAACACATATAGGTAAAAATACTACTACTACTACTACTTTGAGAACTGCACTTGTAACTGGTTTGTTTTAAGGAGTATTTCAGAATTATGGTTAACAGTTTTAATTTTTTTTAGCGATCAGGACCTGGATATCTTTGATATTGCCTTCTCCTAGTGGTTACTACCTGAACAAAGAGAAGATTCTAATGATTGCCATCTGCAGGTACCAGTGGTGGGTTCCAGATCGGGCCCGGCGGCATATGTGCGCGCACATGCACACAGTGAATGCATGCGCCTTAGTGCCTCCACGAGCCTCCGCGACACTCCAGCTGCTCAGCAGAGCGTCGCACAGGCATTGTACACGCCGTGCGCATAAGCCCCAAAGACTTAAAAGACCAGTAAGGAGCTTGACTGGGTGGGTGGGCCCTCCCAAGCACCGTACCGGAACGGCATCTGGTGCTCCCGGCAGACTCTGGTACACCCGTACCGGGGCGTACTGCCTGCAACCCACCACTGGCAGGTACCCTGGAGAAGGTGGATCCATGGACCCTATTCAGTCCACGTACCCTTTCTCTGGACAATGCACCCTTTCTTTGAATCTATTTACAAATTAGATCCAATACCCTTGGAGTATTCATAAAGCTAGAAAGACCTGGATTTTCCAGTGTATTTTCAAGGTCTAATATGCTTCTTTTGGCCTTTTTTAAAGGGGAAAGTCTATACGTTAAAATTGTCTGCAGTTATTTTAGATTGTGCGTGAGTGTGTATCTGTCTATTTTAACACAATTACTGCAATGAATGATAAGAAGGTCTCTGAATGTCTTTCACAATCTTTTATCACTGAAACAGTTTATAGGCATAGTAAGTAAACAAATAAATCAAATAATCCAATTAAAACGTTAGTAGTTGTTCAATGTAAGGATTATATTAGCAAATATGACAACATACAAACTAAAATGTATCTCACCAGATTTATTCTGCACTAAGAACTGTAAATATGTGAGAAGAAATAACTGTTACCTATGATAGTTTATATTCATTATTTGTTTTAGGGGTATAAGGGAGCAGTAGATACATTCAGATCAGAACAGTAAAGCAAAAAATAATAAAATAAAACCACAATAACCCTGAAGGAAATACATTACACTTAAATGTGTACGCTTAGAAGGTTAGTTACCTACATTAAAAAATAGCCCAAAAAGATTTATATGTTTAAAAACCTTTGAATGGTATCAATATCACGGAGACAGAATAGCTATTAAAGAACGATCAATGTAGATTTTTCTATCTTCACCCATAAAAATACAGAGATGCCTACTCCAAGGCATGAATAATGTTAGGAATGTAACTTTAAAATCTATAGATGGAAATTATTGTGAAGGTAAATGATTGCCTCTATTTTATATGAAGGACTGTTTATCAACTAGATATGCTGTTTTCTCATTATTATGACACATACTTTCCTTTTTATATTTTTCCTGGAGCAACATAAATGCTTTGACTTGAACATATTCATCTTCAAAAATCCTTTTTTAGGTATTTGTAGGTCAGAGGGCAAATAGACTTAGCATTACCAGTTAAAATGTGTTTCAAATGTAATTGCATTTTGAAGACAAACTTGAGGCTCAATAATAAAACTAGAAAGCGATGTTCTTAACCCACATACATAATGGGGGGAAAAATGGGACAGCAATCTCCTAATATTCTTGGTTAGTCTGCAAGATGTTGTCAATTTTACTTTCAAAGCAGCAGTGCTTCCTGACTACCAACTGTACACATTCAAAATATAGTAAGGACCGTATTGGGTGGAAATGATTCATTAAATATTTGATCAGTTAGTTTCTGTTCAAATATTAATATTTCCTATTAATATTTATGTAGACAGTTATTTATCAATACACTTTAATTCCAATTGTTGAGATGAGTATGAAATTATACTGTTACAGTTGCTTCTTCAAGCTCTTACTTTAAGAGCAATGTTTGGTGAGAAGATTGATTTGAAAACCTGAGGTGAAACTGAAGTGGATATTTTTGGACAACTTTGGGATTTTTAATTTATTGTGACCGAGTAAACAGATTTTTCCTGTATGCAGCAATTATGTAGCCTGTACAGGCCCAGTGTCACCATTCACTTGGAGGAGGAAGGCTACAGTAAGAAGTGGGGGGAAATGTGCCAGACATAATATGGCAAACCAACTTCTCCTGTAGCCACCAAAAGTACAGTTCGTTTCTTGGAAGTCTTTATTTTTTTCAAAGAAATAAACTAAGCTCTTAAGAAAGTCTTACAGAATTGGCTTGCTTCCTGGCTTGATTTATCAGATCCTTAATGTGAGAGATGTTCTTCCCCAGGTTATCTTGAAGTTGTTTGATTGGTTTCAATTTATCCATCAACCGATTTGCTTCTTCACCTAGATTTTTAACAGTGTCATCTGCATCAGCAACTTTATGTGAAAAAACAAAGCAAAGCAGAATAGATTAAATTTTGGATCCAAGCGCCATTAATAAAAACCGAGAGCCTTCTGGGGCAGTGATTTATACATCAAAAATGAACTCTTCCCTTGACTCTCTCCCCTCAGAAATTTGCATCATGGGTAATTTATTAAAATATCTTATTATACCTGAAATTGAAAACTGCTGGTTGATTTTTCACTCTAGCCAATGATATAAAACATTTTCTTATTTCATATGGCCATTTGGATTCTATTATTAAAGTAGTTTCCTGATCTGGGTGGCTCCTTGGGAAATGATGGTTTAAATTAGCCATGATACAAATTTTAAAATAACAATGTGAGGAATGAAAGGAAGGATGGATGTTACATTAATTTCTAAATTCATGAACTATGTTTAAAACTGGGTTTGCTGTGCTCAAAGCAATCTCCAGTAATCATATTAAAGACAGAAAATAATTGCCATTTTAATTTGAATTTTATAACTTGCTTTAAAGGCAAAATAGTAGCAAAGCAGCAAGAGTTAGAAAAGTGCTCTGGGGAGCTAAGGCTTCACGGCTTACATTCTTGCATTGCAGAACACGTTTTGAATTAAAAGAGTAGCATATTTGCCAATTAATAAATGAAGTGTTTCATATCTCAAACATAATTTTACAGATATCCTAAATTTGCAAAATTTGAATAAACATGACAACAGGAACTTCAGAGCATGACTCAGCAGGAACAAAACAAAATAATGTAATGTCCATAGATGGTTTCATATATTATGGTGGCACAGTGGAACAGTGGTTAGAGTGCAGTACTGCAGGCTACTTCAGCTGACTGCTAGCTGCAGTTCAGCAGTTCAAATCTCACCGACTCAAGGTTGACTCAGCCTTCCATCCTTCCAAGGTGGGTAAAATGGGGACCCATATTTTGGGGGGCAATATGTTGTCTCTGTAAATCACTTAGAGAGGGCTGTAAAAGCACTATGAAGCAGTATATAAGTCTAAGTGCTAATGCTATTGTTATTATATGTACAATTGACCCTATGTGTAGATTAGGTAGCAGATTAATATCTCTGCATAACCTAAAAAATTGCAAGATTCCAAATCTTACTTAAAACTGTTCTTATAGATCTCTACCTGCATTGGTCTGAAACCATCTGTTGTGGCTTATCAGCCAACAGCCCCTCGAGCAGACAAATCAGATAAGGAGGCAGCATGGAAGTCAAGATCAGCATCAAGGCAACCTGAGAGCTCTGAAGGGGAAGAGGGAATGGAGCTGTCAGAGAGAGAGTCAGAGGTGGAGCCTAGGCCATCCATCAGCCCTCAGATGGAGAGTCAACAACCCCCCAGGTCTGGAGGTGGCTCATGAGGAAGAGGAGGAACAGCTGGGTCCAGTGCCTGACATGCGGATGCACAGAAGGCAGAGGAGAGGAGAGCAGTGGAAATCTGTGGGGCGATCCTTGAGACGGAGGAACCACCGCTGCTAGCAAAGCTCCACCCTAACTCTGGAGATAAATGGCAGGGGGCGAAAATGAATAGAGGTGGCAGGCAACTATTCATCTCCCTGCCGGACAGACTTGTTAGCCTATGGTGAGAGAGAAATTTTTTGCCAGGGCTGCTGGCGCTTCTAATAAAGGAATCATTCATTTAACTTCAGAAGGTTTGTCGTGTTTGGGGAGCTGGGTCAGGACATCATCTTCAGGGCATGGTAATCTAGAAAAAGGAGCAATACATGGATGGACCTGTCAAACTTGGCAATATGTATAACCCCAATCATTTACTATATATGAGGCAGTTAGTTGGCTTTGGAAGTTCACAAACAACCCATAGTGCCTTTGGCAGTAATGGCGAACCTTTTTTGCCTCCTGTGCCAAAAGAAGGGGAAGCGCAAGGAGGTTGTGCATAGGGATATACTGAATTCACTGTACTCAAAATTTGTTTTTTTTCTGCTGAGTGCTTTAGATGATTGCTCAAACTGAAAGTATTATGTTTAATTAATTAAAGCCTGATAGCTAGTGACATTGAATGCTGTGGTATTCAGTGTGAATGTACTCACACTAAAGAACCCGTTTTGTTATCTGAAGAGGTGTCTGGACATTCCTCAAGATGCAAGAGAAAAGCAGTGAATAATGACAAACATAACAAGTTTTCAACACACTGGGAAGTGTATGGATTGATCAATCTGCATGTTATAATATGTAGATCCTTTTTAATGAAAGCTTCCAAGACCCTTTGTTCATTGATTGAGTTTTGAATGGAAACTTTTCTTAATTTTTAAAATGTATTTGATATATATTTGTGTGTGTATATGTGTATGTGTATGTGTATGTGTATGTGTATGTGTATGTGTATGTGTATGTGTATGTATATGTATATGTATATGTATATGTATATGTATATGTATATGTATATGTATATGTATATGTATATATAACTAACAGAGCTAGGGCTCATTCCTTTTTCATAGCCAAGCTGCTTGGATAAATTAGTATCATTGCTGGAACACAACAATTATCAGACAAAGCCTAACATAGTAATCATGCAAATATATTTTTTAAAACAATACAGTGCATGAAGTTAAAACCTTATACGTACTGATTCCTGTAGGCAAGTTTTGAAGCATTTTTTTTAAAAGGAAAAGAAAGAATTTTTAAGTAAATGAAAAAAAAACCAAAACAGCAGTATAAAACAAATTGGTGACTGAAGAAAAAAAACTGGAAGTGGGCACAGCTTTCTTGGCTGGATTACGCTGATTTGAAGTAAGTGGGATATTTTCTATTAGGATGTTTAGAACATGGTAACTAGTTGATCTATAGATAATTAAAACTTGGTTAATGAATATAAAAAGCAAGCCATAAGAATGATTTTTCATTTATTTGATGTTACCATTATCAGTGAATTATTTGCTCATTTCATAATTATGATGCTCTTCCTGTCTTCTCCACTTTTCTTTTGGGTTATGTATATCCCTATCTGACTTAAAATTCTCCTTTCTCATGTTGGTATGATTTCAGAGTCTGATTTAAAACTAACTATGAGGTAAAAGTAGAATGCTAATGGAAGCCGGTGCAGAAAGAAGAATGAAGGGGACATTTAAGTGAGAAAGGGGAGAAACAAGAGTGAAGCATCAAGACAACTTGCAAGGAAATCCTGATCTCAGTTAAAATTGAAATGGCAAGTACAGCTCATGAAAATACATACCTTCAAATGAGATTAGGAACATGCAATATGGCAGGGACGAAGAGACTCTAGTCATTCAAGATCTACTTGACATTTTATTTCCCCCCTCCCTCAAATCCTCCAAATGGAGTGAGACCTCAAATAATGGCTCAAGCAGAGATGGACACTTCTGAATATGTGTTTAGCCCAGAAACTCAAGTAGACTAAAGCTCAAAAGTCTTTTAGCACAACAATCACCAAGTGTTCTTTTTCTTTTCTAATTAAGACTCACTGGTATTGCTAGACTACAGGGAACCTGAAGACCCTGTCAGTCTGGTCAATTGACTCTAAATTAGATTGTGTCCATGGTTGCTGTAAGCCAACAGCTAAATTTAGCTGAACTGTAATAGCAAACTATCTTCAGGAACACCATTCTTAACATTTTCTAGAAGATATTTCTAATTCACATAACTGAGCAGTAAAAATCTTCAAACATATAATAAAACTGCTCTCTATTCAAAAAAGGAAGACTAGATTTGTGGGGATAGAACAATACAATTTTGTTTGCAGTTGTTATTATAAAGATTTAAACTTTACATTTTTCTGGTGAAATAATATATATTTTCCCTATAAATTATATTTTCCTTCATATTGCAAAGATGACCAGATCTGGAATAGGTCTGTATGTGTCCCAAGTGTGATCCACTCACTGAGGCAATATAAAGGGTTTCTAGTAAATATGGTTATTCATTTGATTCACATAGAATCAGTTTGGTGTAGTGATTAAGGAATCAGGCTAGAAACTGGGAGGCCATAAATACTAATCCCACCTTGGGCATGTGACTTTCATTCAGCCCTAGGTAGAAGGCAATGGCAACCATTTCTGAAAAACCTTGCCAACAAAACTGCAAGGACTTGTCCAGGCAGCCTCTGAGAATCAGACACAATTGAATGAAAAAATAAAAAGAAGGTTACATAGCTATATTAGAGACATTTTTTTTCTGAATTCTACCAGTAATATAGTGCTTTTCAGTGAATATAATAAGTAAAGGTTCAGCATAAAATATGTTCCTAACATACCTGTCTGTATTACCCAAGAGATTATAATACATCATCTACAACCAAAAGACAGCTTTATTACAGCATTTTCATTCAATGATTAACTTATATACCTACCTGATATGTTCATACCACAAATGCTTACCATTATTTCTACTGTCCTGGGAATGATCTTTCAAGGGCATTTTCATCACTAAGAGTCAAAGCTATTTTTTTAAATATCCAAAGCAATGTGTTAAGAAGGTGGAAGGCAATGGAAAACATGCTTCTAATTAAGTGGTATTTGAGGTATACAAAATAATGAAGGAATTATGCATGGAGTATCACCAGGAAAGTCTAATTTTTAAAGCACAGGATATTACCATTCTTCTCTCTATATATATAAACCTTACCAACCTTAGTAGGTGTTGAAAAGTGCATAACACCATAATTTAAATCAAGGGAAGGAACAACCCTTTCATTTCAGAAGATTAGAAAAAAAGGAAAGAAATCAAAGTACATAGGCATAATAAGGTCTTACTATTTTTAGTAGGATCTTTCAACATAGCGTTTGTTTTGGCTGCATCGTCTGCAACTTTTCTGTATCTGTCTTTTAATCCAAGGAGGTTTTGATTGAGATCTCTGATTTTAGCCAGTACCTCATTTGCAGTATCATTAGCTTGCTTAGCTTTGTCTTTAACTGCTTGTACTTTGGCTGCTGTATCTGTCAACATGAGGAGAGGGGGGAAAAATAGAACCAAGAGATATTTTATTTATTTGACTTTTATGCCACTTTTATTTTTTTATATAAATAACTCATGACAGCAGACACACCTACTTATCACATCTTGTACATAGTATTTATATTTATTGTTTTGTTGATTTATTTATCAAAATTCTTAGTAGCCCATATCCCTTGTAGAGGGACTAATTTGAATTGTGCTGGGCCTACTGCAAGACAAGACCTATTTGTTTCTGAAAGGATAAATCTTTATTTAAAAAAATAAACATAAAACCTATTTATTTTCACTTATTCCAAGACAAAAAACCCCCCACCCATGTAACCTCTCTGAAGTAACAAGAGTGACAGCATTGTTAGTGCTGTAACAAAGATATCAATAAATGTGCCCATAAAATAACATCGCATGAAAAGTGAGCAAACAGAAAATACAACTCAAACATATATTAACTGAACTATTGTCTGAATAGTTTATTGAATCTAAATTTACATAGGGAAAAGAGAGGCTAATCTTTCATGTTTTTAATATCCTTACTTTTTGTTGACCTCTTGCAAACCATTGTATCTACTGCACTGTCAAAGATAAGTTCACAGTTTCTTGTGAGTAGGTTTAATTAACTTTCTTTTAAACCAAAGAAGTCCTAATCCAGCAAAATTTGCCATAATGAAGAAATCAGTCTGGTCTGTAAACAATTTGGTTCCCTCTGATGCACAATGTGTTTTAGCTCCTAGGCAAGTGGCACAATGAACTATGATGTCATGCCTATTTACTTCATATAATTAAAACACTGGCAGCGGATCTTGGCATCCATTTGCTGTTGTAAGTAACAAATCACACATTCAATTCCAGCTGCTTTCTATACATATTGCTTATGTTTCTTCAGAAATAATGTACTTTGCTCAACTTGATCTTTTTCACTCTGAATATCTGCTCCTTTCTTAGCATTTTTACTATAACAGCAAGGAGAGGCACTTTGGGAAAATGAACTAAAATGATAGATTGGTTGGCAGAATGTTGTCTTTCATTGCTTTTAAAAGAAAAAAAGAAGGACTTCTCAGAATGAGAAGAAAGCAAATGCTCTTGCTAAACGAAAAAGGGGGGAAAAAAGAATATCAAATAGTTTTCCTTCTATGGCAAGCAATATACTAAGAACCAAAATAGACAAGAGAACTTATGGTACAGAGTAAAAAGTATAATATATACACATATTTTTTCCAAAGTGGAAGATCAAAACCAGAAATATATTGAGCTGAAACTGTCCGCATACTGACCCATCCTATTAGAGCTGAGCTACTGTGCTGTGATGATAATTCTAATAATGCCACTTCCACTGTGTTTGGATGTGCCAGAATGATATCATTGGTTTGGAAGAATTAGAAAAAGTTCAGCAATCAGGAGGGGAGCAGACAGTAGCAGCCCAGTGACTGTGATCAACAAGTGACATTATTGAGAAAGACCCTGGTAGACAGAATGAGAAGTGGGGGAACCTGAGCAAATTTTCCAGATGTTTTGGAGGATTTTTTTTTAAAAAAAAGCTTAATGGCACCATTATGTATTATTAAAGAGAAATATTCCTCTGTCTGCACTTGGTGTCTATATTATGAAAATATTTTGATTGGGAACACAAAGATATGATATTGATATATTCTTACATTAATATCATTTGAAGGAAGGAAGGAAAGAAGGAAAAAAGAAAAAAATAAGAAGAAAGAAGGAAGGAAGGAAGGAAGGAAGGAAGGAAGGAAGAAGAAAGAAGGAAGGAAGGAAAAAAGAAGAAAGAAGGTGGGGGAAAAAGAAGAAATAAAGAAGGTAGGAAGTAAAGAAGAAAAAAGAAAGAGAGAAAGAAAGAAGGAAGGAAGGAAGGAAGGAAGGAAAAAAGGAAGGAAGGAAGGACAATACAAATATAAGTAGGTTGGGAACTGAAGTGGAAAAAAACACATTTTTTTCAATTTAGGAAAAGCACTGCACTCTAAATACTGAATAGTGGTGATTTAGTTCAGCTCTCACTTACCATTTGGAATTGCTAATAGCTTTTCCAGGGTGTCATTCAGAGCTTTCAAGAGAGCTGAGTTTCTTTCCCCTGCAACTTGCAACTTATTCTGCATTCCTTTTAGATTATCCTCATTTTCTGTAAGGAGTACACAAATCAGAGGTTTTGTTATATTAATATAATTCATTATAAAATTAATATATCTTGAAAGGAATTCAGGACTACGTAGGAGCTCTCTCAATTTAGTATCATAATAATTTTATGAGCAAGCGTAGGCTAAGAAATTATAATTGACCATGAAGAACTTTCATTGGATTTTTGGACTATTTATGGCTTAGAAGTATCAAACACTCAAATCAGTACAGATTGAATATTTATCATGATTTATTCATTTGAAATCAGCTGGCTAACTATTACATTCAGCCTGATGGTGCTTGGAGTACAGATCATTGTACTCCAAGCACCATCAGGCTGAATGTATCATCATTGGCACAGGATGATAATCAAAGTTTTATTAATTTCTCCCCCCCCCCCGACATCACACCAAGATATGCATTGTTGCATTATTTTATTCTTTTTAACATTGCAAGTCTCCCAGAGTCACCTTGTAGTTGAAAGAAGCAAATATATTTATTAAATAAATAAATAATAAATATGAAAATGTCAATTGTGCAGGCTTACATTGTTATTGATTAATAAAATAGAATAGAATAACAGAGTTGGAAGGTACCTTGGAGGTCTCCTAGTCCAATCCCCTAATTAGACAGGAAACCCTGCACCACTTCAGATAAATGGTTATCCAACATCTTCTTAAAAACTTCCAGTGTTTGAGCATTCACAACTTCTGGAGCCAAGTTGTTCCACTGATTAATTGTTCTAACTGTCAGGAAATGTCTCTTCAGTTCTAAGTTGCTTCTCT